TGGGTAATGAGTTGCCAGTGTTTTTTGTGGTACTTTATGGATTTGTATAAGATTTTCAGTGTTTATATTGTAGATATACGACTACATAACAGAGAATTTGCTTTTTTTTTTTTATTGTAGATACACGAATCTTCTACTTTTGAGTCACCATTAAAAAGAAATGCTTCATTTCCTTTGTGGAGACCCAGTTAACAGAAAATTTCCATTTTTTAATTATGGGCCAAAGTCTGGGTGATGAGCTGCCAGTTATTTTAAATTTATATGTTTCTGTGTTTGTGTATCGTGTTTTCCACCTATTAATTACATCTATTATGAGTGAATTAGTCACCACAGGTTGATTAATTACATTAATACGTTTAAAAAAAGCAGGAATCCTGCATTCTGTCTGTTTTTGTCAGAAAACTGTTGAGTGACAAAGTTTAAACATGTTTTTGACCGGTACACGAAAATGTCTTGTTCTATTTGCATATATCCACTTTTGACAGGAAAAAGCGCCGCAGGAGTCAAACAAACGGGAAATAAGAAGTAATATTTGGCTCTAGATGGAGGAAGTGGAGACAGTAAAGTCCTCGCTGACCACAGCGGTTGTGAAACTCTCAGTTCGATATTTTTACTTTTGTCGATCACGCGACTTTCTTTGATGTTCATCAGTGAAGAGGAGAAGCCGACAGAAACAGAAGAGTTTGTTTCTTCATTTCTGGAGTTTCAACATGTTGCTGCTGCTGCTGCTGCTGCTGTCCAACACCGTGAGTCAATGTTTCTGTATTTACAAGAATCTGTGCGACATCTCAGATAAACTCTATGTTTTATACATTTAGAAGATTCTGGGCAATTTCATTACACATGAGGATATCAACATTGTTAGAAAAAAAATTCATTAATTAGAAAATAAATTTAAAAAAATACTGGGAAACAACCACCTTAATTAAAACAGATATTTTACCCTTAATTTTACTCTTTTGAAATTTTAATATTTTTTCTAAAGAACAACCTTTGAAAGTGTAAAAACTATTAAATTATCTTTAAATATGATTAAATGACATTATAATACAAATAGTTAATAGAAAAGTGACACGACTGGTTGGGTTTTATTACATCAATTTATTTTAAGACTTCTGTAAAATAAAAAATAAAAAGGAAAAGTAGAAATAAATAAAAGTAGTAAATCAGTTTCAAATTGCAAAGATTGTTGATTTTTAGCTGTGTAAAATGAGTTTTTACATAAAACTGAACAGAAGAGTCTTATTAAATCTTATTAAAGCATATTTTACAAATGTGGAAAAAACTATGAAATAATGGGTTCACCTTTGAAAAAATGAATATATTAATTATAAATCATATCTAGTGTATTATGAATTAGTTCCTAGGTTTTATTGTTGTTGTTATTTTACATTAGACATGTAAATTCAGCCTGTTTTTGTAATTTTAGGAATGTTTTTGTGATACATGCGTAAAACAAAATGTAAAAAATACAATTTTGAGGTTTATAAATGTAATATTTCACTGTGCAATAAATGCAGCCGCTGCCTCATTCTGCGGTTACTGTTCTCGTGTCGTTTATTATTTTGTGTATTTTGATTTCCTTCCCTTTGCTGCTGCAAACTTCCCCACTGTGGGATGAATGAGGAATTACTTTATGGAATCGTGATCTTTTCAGTGGCAGCATTTCACCATCTTGTAGCTGCTGCAGCCTGTTGGCAGCTGTCAGGTCAGAACCCGCCGCAAGTAAACCTCTGTGTGGTTCTGGTTCTGCAGGTCGGCCTGTGGGCTCAGCGGGTGTCGGGCCTCAGGAAGGACGGGTCGTGCATGTGCAAAGTGAACTCCACCATGTGGGTGTTTCCGGCCGTGAAGTTCGAGTCGGTGCTGGAGGAGGTGGACGCCTGCGAAGGATCCCTGGACGTGATGCAGAAACAGGTGAGAGTTAAAATACGAGCAAAGGTCCTGAAAGTTCTGGAGAATATTCCATAGTTATTACTGAATTTTGTTTAAAAATGAGACACGAAATGATATAAAACAAACACAAAACGATATAAAATGACCAAAACGAGACACAAAACTACAGAAAAGACACATTAAATGACAAAAAGAGGAACAAAACAACACAAATGAGACACAAAGTAAAGAAAAAATACACACAAAATCACCACAAAGCGACAGAAAGGACACATGCTAACTGTTATTAGCATTGATGTTTAGATTCAGCAGTTGTTGTTGTTGTCGAGATGTCTCCCAGTGTTTCACATTTGTGCGTCCGTATCTCCTGCAGGTGGCGCTGTCCAGGCAGCAGCTCCCTCAGATGGAGGCTCAGGTTCTGAACGCGTCGGCCCGGCTGCAGCCCCACCAGTACCTGCAGCACCAGGGCCTGTACACGGCGCTGACGCTCAGACAGCTGGGCCAGGAGCTGCAGCAGCTGGAGACCCACATCGGTGTGGTACACAACCAGCTGAACAACACGCAGACACGCCAGCTGTCCAGAGAGGTGCAGCACAGCAACACAACACAACACAACAAAACACGACACAACACAACACAACACAATACAAAGAGAAGACATGAAATGACAAAAAGATGAACAAAACAGCATAAAACGGCCAAGACACGACGCTACAACTGAGTCAGCAGATAAAATATGTTGCCGTGTCAGTAAATGTGTGTGTGTTTGTGTGTCTGTGTGCGTGCTGTGTGTGTCTGTTAGGTGGATAAACTACGCACTGATGTAAACAAACTACAAACTTCAGACACAGTGAACATGAAGACTGTCAGAGAGAAACTCCGTTACCTGAACAACAACGTGGAGTCCTGCAAGTCCATCCCCAAAGACTACAGAGGTACCTGTGTGTGTCTGTGTGTGACTCTGTGTGTGACTGTGTGAGTCTGTGGGTGACTGTGTGTGACATTCGCTCTAAAACTACATACATAATTATATGAGTAGTCTTCTACTAAGCTCCAGCTCTCCTCAGACATTTATGAGTTCTGGTTGGAGCTCATGAACCTCCTCAGAGTCTCCGTCATGGTCCCGTTGCTGCTAAACTCCCACAATGCTCTCTGCTGCCAACAGTAGTCTGTAGACGCCTCCTCTGGTCTCTACAGTGTTAAACAATGAGAGGCTCCACCTGGTGGAACAACCAGGTACTACAGCTGGTCTACGACATATTTTGTGACGTTCTTCTTCTACTGTTGAGGAAGTTAATGATTAACAATTGATCAATTGATGCATTAACATTTTTAGAGCT